GACAGGGTCGTCCCAATATGCGTTTTTGCAATTTGCATATAGGCAAAAACGCATAAAAACGGGGGAAAATGCAATTGGATACACACGCAAGCAGGTGGCTTTATAATATGCGCTTTCTGCTGCTGTTACACTGCACAAAACGTATAAAGACTGTACCTGACTGTGTTTAAAATAAAATGTTGTGTGAGGAATGAGAAAACCAAAAATACCCTGCTTGCCCAGCAAATTTCCCCTGAATTTGCTTTTATGTGTTTTGCATGATTTACAAAAGTTAGAATGCAATTTGGCACGCACCATCTGTACTATGTTTGTTTGCCTGCGAATATCTAGTTGTAAATAACGAACAAAAATACTGAAAAAATGATTTGCGACTGCGCAGAAGGCCCCAAGTAAGGTCGACTAACACTTTATTTTGTTTTCAGACTTACCAACGTATAACTGCAAGGGTATAAAATTGAACAGGTTGAGAATTAAACACCTACAAACTGGAGATGCTGTTATTTTCCTTGCGTGCGCGTCCTATTAATTTCGAAGGCTACATATCACGGCGATACCGGTGCCTGTAGCAACAATTTAAAGAACGCCTGGTTTGAATATTATGAGAGGGATTTGCGAAATTCTACAGCATCAGTAAGAAAAACAAGAACGAAACAGTACCGAAAAAGGACAAGTACTGCAGCAGGAAACGTATGAAAATTGTTGTTACGATGAATATGCGTCTCATCATTCAAGGCAACTTTTCCGAAAACCTGTTAATAATATGTGTTGATAATGAGGAAATAATTGTCATACAATCGATAAAATTTGGAAATTTTTAGCAGATCAGTAGCTATTCAGAAACTGTGTCAAATAATTTTTTTTTTAGCAATACTTCTACTGTGGATCAATCGTCTCTAAAAATAAACTGCATTATACAGCCTGTGAAAACGAACCTGCATGCCAATGACCGCATAAATAAAAAATAACAAGACAATCAAAAGGGCAACGTATGGCAGCGCCTGAAAAAATATTTCCTATCGTTAAATTCGGCAATTACAAAAACTCGGCTCGGCTCGGCTCGCCTTATACAAGCCGAAAAAAATTTTTTATGTCGACGGCAGCTAGGGCTGCCCCATGGCAGATGGCGGCAGTTTGAATATGGGTGGTGGAAGTGGGAGTGGTATGTAGCGGGTTTCGTTCGATATAGGGGAGGGGGGCTAGGATAGGGTGGATATAAGGACTAAATGGCGTAGATTCTTTGCCGATTAACTAAGTAACGCACATTTGGAGGGGAGAGAAGAGCGGTGAAGAACGAAAAGGATGTACGCTTCTGGTTTTTACCGTCATCAGCAGGGGACTTCCCTTTTTATGAAATTGATTGTTAGTAAAGTTGTTCTACAAAAACCCGCCGTCAGAATTTCATCTTTATGAAACTTATGCTTAGGTAAAGCTGAGAGCGAATAATTTACACGAAGTGGGCAAAAACAAATTGGAATGAATGCCTGGCGATGAAGTCAGCCTTTGCTCCTGTGAGATTTTGAAGATAAAAAAAAACGTATAACTGTTGTGCACCGTTGCGGGGTGCAGGAGTCAACACTGTGGCATTATCTGCAATTCTTGTTTAATCCAATTGGATTTAATTGCCCTCAGCTTCACCTAAGCACAATTTTTAGTAAGTCCTGTCGAACTTATTTGCCTGAGCCTCACCTAAGCATAAGCTTCAAAAAATCCTGTCCAACTTATTTGCCCTCAGCTTCACCTAAGCATAAACCTCTAAATTGCGGGGATCGCATACTGAAGACGGGTTTTTGTAAAACAAATCCTACTCGCATAAGTTCAGTTTTTGTTTGTTATTGCTTTTTTTGCTTTTGGTTACAGGCTCCAATTCTTTGATTTTGCTTCTTTTCCTTTTATTCACAAATTCAGGTTTGTTTTAATTTACTTTTCTTTGTAGTAGCGTGTTGGTTTATTTTCCTCTTTACTGCTATCTGCAGTTCTTGCTTCGAAGTCCTGACTAGCACGCTTCTCCTCCTGTATCCTGTTCCCAGTCCCTGCCTTCAAAGTCGCTTCGGGCACCCACCACCTCCAACCGCTGTCACCATTTATCGTCCTGACTCCTAACCAGCAACTTCATTTCTCCCCATTATCCTGGCCTTAATCGCGCCCTCTGAGCTGCATTTAGGCAACTACCAACCAACACTCCCAACCACATCCAATCCTTCCCCCTCCCCCTCCCCCTCCCTTCCCCGCCACGCCCCAGCTACGCAATCCAGCCGCTAGACACTGGGCAGCGCTACCCAGCGCGTCTGGCAAAGTCTCAGCGAGCCGCCGCCAAACAGTGCTGGCAAAGATGAAAGAGCAAAGCGCTGGAAGGTCCAAGCACCACAGTTCACCAGCCGAGCCGAGCCGAGTTTTTGTAATTGCCTTAAATTCATTATAATTTCCAAAACCAGGAATATTAAGGCCATCCAGACAATAGCTGCGTGAAACCCAATGTTAATACTGTTGCTGAATGCTTCCAGCAAAAATGCTAACATTGGACTTTCACAGCATGATATCCTTGAGCCGAGTGCAGCTATGTCAGCCGCGCCTGGCTTTGCAACTTTCAATCAGACCCTCTGCTACAGCAATTTTGCATGACTGAGGCATGAGTAGAGAGATAAATTGTGGAGCATATGTGGCGCTGAGTAAGTAAATGTATTTTAGTGATTTAAGGACGGTGCGCACCCACAGTCGTCTTGACAGTATCAGAATTCAGCAGTTAATATTCAAAAAGACGAGCATTATCTGATAGCTTATTTTTAGTGTTTCACGAAAACAAACCTGAAAACTTTTCATAAAAGTCCACAAAAGTGTTCGAATTCCTTCTCCTCTGCTCAGCAATTTCACTAGTCGCATTACACGAAAAAGGCGGAAAAAATTTATGCTAATAATGTTTGAGCCCGGCGAAAGCTTCCCGTATATAATATCAATGAAAGATCCTAGCACAATAACAAAATCGAATGCGTTCCACCTGCAAACATGAATAAATGGCTGCGCTCTTCAGAAATATTGATACAAAAAGTATTTGAATGAAGCAGTTAACTCAGTTCAGTAGGGTTGGGAGGTGAGCTGCAGTGACTGGGGGGCAGGGGAGGTACAGGCAGAGGGAGAGAATGAGGATCGGGGATAGTGGTTTCGGTCTCGGAGGTCGCGACGGAAATGAAAAGACAAGGTCATTTACTGGAAAGAAGCTGAGACCTTGCTTAGAAGTAGGAAGTGAAAATAAATGGCAACGCGCACCAGGCTAGCCGGTGCGATCATGCGTTTTGTGCAATTCAGCCCA